ACTCGGGGGTTTGCTAACCTCCAGACGTCCGACTACGGACAACTAGCCTGACTATGATGTGTATAAGGGAGTGCGAAACGCTTGTGGATTCACGCTTACAAGTGCGGGTCGTGTGTGGGGAAGTACTACATATCCAATTTTATCCGGACTGAGGCCACCCATACGATGGTTTTAATGTTAGATCCCTAATCATGAGTTGCATGTGGTTGCACTCCCGAAGCTAATAGTGGGGTCACTTACTGAGTATTTCTTAAAGTACTCAACGCATGTGCTACATCTTTTTTTAGGTATAGACAAGACACCCCTAAAAGGCTGAGTGAGTGCGGTTTTCTAACTTTTTTTTTTTTTTTTTTATTCGTTATAAGATAGGTTTGTCAAAACTACTTGGAAATCTAAACATAAGAAATGCAAAGGATTACACTCATTTGTTAAGGAGTATAATCTACAACTTTTATTATAACATTCAAAAATCTTCATCTAAAGTAAAACCTTCGATGATTATTCATAGTATTGAAAATAAACCAACCAATGGTTAATTGAAAGGTTGTAACTTTCAAGGCTATCAATACCATAATCGTAATTAGCTAATTGTAACGTATAATCATAAAGACAATTCTCTAAAACATGAAAAAAAAAAAAACAATAAAACCTCCTTAAATCTAAATAACATATACGAGTTTTGTCATCCACCATGAAATCTTTGTAGTATGATTAAGACAACTTATTTTATATAGCAACTAAACACATTGACGTATAAATAGGACTTTGCATGTATTTAATATCATGGTTTATAAACATGAATCTAGTTTCAACTCTTAAGTATGGCTACGTAGTGAGTATATAATCACCCTTGCTACTTTTGTTTTCTCATTTTAGATAATGCATAAATATATGAGATCGTGTGACAAGAGCATTTCATCGAGTATTAATTTTCGCTCGCATCTTTTTATCCCATGTTTTAAATATCATGAAGGTTCTGAAAGATTAGGGGTGCTTTATATATATATAGTTATTAATATGAACTTTAGTTTGCTTATTAATATGAACTTTAGTTTGTTGGCAAAGGTCCGTGTCATGTATATATTTGTAGCCGATACCAATTATCATCATGCTCACATTGTCTTACTCCTGATTCAAAATTAGAAGAAAAAAGCATAGCTATAGTAAAAATTTTGCAACTTTCTCACTTTGAATTTTTTTTTCAAGTTTTGTGGTAGAGATATGGTGTTTCACAATTGTTTTGTGTTTAGTACAATTTTTTTATTTACATTAATGTTGTTTCAAAGAATTTTAGAGTATTAGCTTTTGAACTAAAAATTTATTACAGTTTAGTTTTCGGAAATTTTGAGGCACTTTTTGGGTTCTCATTCTTGAAGATTTCTATTTATTGAATCTATGTTAATTTGTCAAAATATTTGAGCTATTAAGTATAAACAAAGCAAAACAAAAAAAAATTATGCAAGAAACTCTTCGGCTTGTTTTTGTAACATAGATTTGAATAGAGGGACTCGAAATTGTTGGAAGTCATGGATTCTTTAATCTTGTGTAGGAAACTTCTGGTGTTCACAATTGCAATCAATCTTGAGAACGGCAAATTATAAAACAATGCATTGTATTCGAAGGAAAGACAAGTTTATAATTTTATTTCTAAATTCATATCTTTNACATGAATCTAGTTTCAACTCTTAAGTATGGCTACGTAGTGAGTATATAATCACCCTTGCTACTTTTTTTTTCTCATTTTAGATAATGCATAAATATATGAGATCGTGTGACAAGAGCATTTCATCAAGTATTGATTTTCGCTTGGTTCTTTTTTTCCCATGTTTTTAAATATCATGAAGGTTCTGAAAGATTTGGGGTGTTTTATATATATATAGTTTTTAATATGAACTTTAGTTTGTTGCCAAAGGTCCGTGTCATGTATGTATTTGTAGCCGATACCAATTATCACCATGCTCACATTGTCTTACTCGTGATTCAAAATTAGAAGAAAAAAGCATGACTATAGTAAAAATTTTGCAACTTTCTCACTTTGGTTTTTTTTTTTCAAGTTTTGTAGTAGAGATATGGTGTTTCACAATTGTTTTGTGTTTCGTACAATTGTTTTTTAACATAATGTTGTTTCAAAGAATTTTAGAGTAGTAGCTTTTGAACTAAAAATTTATTACTGTTTAGTTTTCCAAAATTTTTAGGCACTTTTTGGGTTCTCATTCTTGAAGATTTCTATCTACTGAATCTATGTTAATTTGCCAAAATATTCGTCCTATTAGTTATAAACAAAGCAAAACAAAGAAAAATTATGCAAGATACTCTTCGGCTTTTTTTGTAACATAGATTTGAATAGAGGGACTCGAAATTGTTGGAAGTGATGAATTCTTTAATCTTATGTAGGAAACTTATTGTGTTCACAATTGCAATCAATCTTAAGAAGGCAAATTATAGAACAATGCATTGCATTCGAAGGAAAGACAAGTTTATAATTTTATTGATAAATCCATATCTTTTGCAAAGAAAGGAATTAAAGTTGAACCAAAATTAAGGGTTACAACAACAAATTACGTTGGTTGGGTTTGGAATGCATCGTCCTTGTTCAAATCCTTTTCTAGAACATGATTCTATGCATTTTTCATTTTCAGCGTCGCTGTCGTTTCCGCAAAGTCCAATACAAGTTAATGGAGGTGAAATTCCCTCCCTCGCCTCTGTATCTGCATCAATCGAATTAAACAAAAATTTAGTGTCTCATAAATTTGAAAGAGAGAAAGAGAGGGAGGGAGTAGGGGAGCAATTAGAGATAATAGAGAGGGTACAAGAGCAAACTAAAAGCGAAAGCAAGGCCATTGCAGCGACAGAAATCAAGATAAACTTCTGCATCTTCATCCTTAACTTCAAAAACTATATGTTTAATTTTCTTCTGCCGGTGTGATTTTAGCTTTCGAAAACTGCTTTATATAATAGTGTTATTAACTTCCAATTATTCTCTATCATTAAGAGCAAATACCTTCATTTCTTTCCATGCATATTAATATTAATTCTACATTCATACGTTTTCCTTATAAACACAAATGAGAGTTATTCGAGGATATAAATGCTAATATTTGTGAAGTAATATGGGACACTATGGAAAATAACTCGGACACTATGGAAAATAACTCACCTTATAAATATAGTTGAGAATTAATTTCTTGATTTTTTCTTTAAATAAAAGAAAAGAAAATCCTAGCCATCCTCGGTGAGTTTTAGAGCTTTGACACTAAATTGGATGGGTTTACTTCTTTCCAAGTAATTTCTTGATTTTTTTCTTTAAATAAAAGAAAAGAAAATCCTAGCCATCCTCGTGAGTTTTAGAGCTTTGAGCCTAAATTGGATGTGTTTACCTCTTTCTATGTTTAACGAAATGAAATAAAAATACTTTTTTGGAAAGGTGGTACAAAATTCGTCATCTTTGGTGCAAGAACTAAGTTTTATTTACAAAGAAAAAAAATACTAGAAGAAAATAGGAGGAACATGAAATCAGGTTGGATTTGGAAATCAATTTGTGGAAGATGAAATGTAGGTGTACACGTATTAGGCGCAAAGTGGATGAACGGGGCTGACGAGGATAAGGACATGCATCGAACATTGTTCAGGCCACACCCTATGATGCCATTTGCCGAAGAATAAATAGAAATTCTTACATTCATGATACTCAAACACATGCGGAGGAAGATGGAAGGCCAGTCATAGGATGACACGTGTTGCAATCGGAGCATGGCTACTTCCTTCAAACGTGCATTAGTACTCGTATCTAGGTTACACACGTAGATCACCTCCAGTCTCTCGAGTAACTATATTAATTACGAAAATTTCTTACATTAGTCTCAATAGGAAAAATATGCCCTTAATAAAACATAAAACTCTGAAGTCATCCTGCAGACGGGTCTCACAACCTTACTTGTCACTCCCATATCACGACTTTGCTTTTACCTAAAAATAATTTTTAAAAAGGTGACTACTAAAAACACTCACTCATGCACTCGCTTGTTGGGGGCAAATATGCACAAAAACATACAAGAATAACGAGCAAAATCAAAGTTCAAAATTTATTTTCAAAATGTGGTCACTCGCTCATGTCGTATTCTATTCTAGATCAGGATTATCTAACTCAACTCAAACTGGCACATAGAGACACCGAGTAATCAACTTCTAAGTCAATGAACAATTGTCATCATCGACGATTCGTAATTGTAACGTCCCTAAATTTCTTAACCTTATTTGTGATGTCATCCTAAGCATGCTTTAATCACATATGCACAAGTTCTTAATAAATACTTTTAAAACAAAGTCATGGACTTAGTATTCAATTTCAAACAAGAAATTCAACCTAACATAGTTTTAAATATAAAACAGTTCTATCATGCTCTATCCGAACTTCCATGGTCTTTCCAACAATTTTTCATCCGCGCATAGAAAATTTACCTAAAAAATATAAGGGTAGCGCTCGACTTGATTATTTTATTAAATACTCAGTAAGTCACCCACCGTTGGGGTTAGCAATGCAATCACACATATAACATGATTGGGACCTTTCTTAAAACCATCACATGGCCTTGGACTCTTCCCAATTATAAGCAGGGTTGGATATGTGGTACTTCCCCACACACAGCCTACGTGCGCGCACATGAACCCACCAAACGAGTTCGTATAGATACCCCTAGGCCTGACATGGTCGGACTTAACTCGTCAGACGTCAGGTGCCACCAAAAAGGAAAGGCATGCATGATACCAAGACAAACATGAATATCGAAAGTACACGTCCTTACTAACATAATATTTAGTCTTAACATTAATAGACAAGAGTTCTCACCCATGAACATCAAAAAAATAAACCCTCACTAACAAGAGTTCATAACTATAACGACCTACTTTTTTAGGGACTTAAGTTATAAATAGTCACTTACTGAAATATTTGAAAATATACATTAATTTAAAATATAAAAAAAATGTGTGCACATTTAATAACCATCCAATTGAACAACTGATTTAAAATAAACAAATACATTTAAGTATTTAAAGCGCAACCAGATAATTTACAAAATATACCAACAACAAACACAGAAAACTTTGAGTTCATAAATACATCAAGTCAAAGAAATATAAAACTTCGATCTAGTCCAACAGTCCTTGCCTCGATCGCTCTATTTAGGCCTCATCTGAAAAGAATTAAAGTAGCATGGGTGAGTTTAAAAATACTTAATAACTAGTTTGTCTGTAGTTCTTAATTCGTTTTTTAAGTCTTACAGATTGGTTCATTCGTTTGTCTGGTGTCTTATTCATGTTTAGGAGTTTGTTTCTAAGTATCCGCTGTTTCTAGGTTGTACCCTATGTTAAATTGGTTCACCTAAGCTCAACTTAGGGTCATGGTAAGAAAATTGTATGTTTCTCTTTTCGTAGCCCTATTTGGGTTGTTAGTTCTCATAGTTCGTTCATAGGTTTCATAGGTATATTGTTTAAATGTTCTACTACTCCCTGGACCTATACCTAGTAGGTCCTCGAGGTGTGACCCCAACATCGTTTCTAACTCATAATTCTCATCATATTATGGACATCGTTCTCAGATTCTCTAGTAGGGTTTAGTTGGCATCTCCCTAGTAGGCCCCATATAATTATAAAAGAGGTTGTGGTCCTCAAGCTTGCTAACACTCATCTACCTATATAGTCCCTCGCTCTCAATCGAACAAGATCATGACTAAGGGGTGGTTGGAAACCCCGTAATTGCACCCATAAGGCGCTTTTTAAGTTTCTCATTTGATTCATGCATTTCAACGCTCCACCCTAGTTCTACTCACTCATAAACATAATAAAATATTGTATAGACCCCTGACAATCTAATCGGGTTCATGATTAGGAGTTAATTGGTGAATCACTAATCATCTTATACAATAACATAATCATTCATACACGAACAAATCATTACAAGAATCCAACGATGATAGATAACAGACAAACAAACAATAATGACAAATAGAGGCAAATGAGGATTATAGAAAGTCATATTACCCTAAAACTATCAAACTCAAATAATAAAACTTTATTTGAAAGGTTGAGTTTTAAAACAGAAAGACCAAAATCAATTCACATTTCTATAATCAAAATCCTATTAAATTCAAATTTCATCGAATAAAAAGTTATTATACCCATATTTGAAGGACTAAAATACTATCAAACTCAAATTTCAGGAACCAAAATGCTGTCACACTCATTTGAACAACAAAAATTCAATTAAACTCAAGTTTCACGAACAAAAATGCAATAAAACTCGAAGAATTTATCGAAAACCCATAAATCGAACTCATGACAACTTAGAAAAAAAAAATAATCATGAGCTAAAAAGTTGGATCTAAATTGAAATGAAACAATTACCATTTATCTCCTGAAGTTCTGGATAGTTTCATTCACACCACCGGCCGCCGCCACTCCAAATTCAGCCCCATCCATCAAAATGCTATCCAATCTGGGCGTCACAACAACACCATACGAAAACGCCTTCATCTCAGGGCATCGTCCAATGATCAAACACTCCAATCTTGGGAACTCAATCCTACATTTCCCACAATAAAAACTCCCCAATTCAGGCAACAAATCCAACTCCACCGTCTTCAATTTCCCAAAAACTACACCACCCTGTTCTTCCCCCGCCGCAACCACGCACCTCATCCCTCTACAACAACGCACCTTAATCGACCTAAGATTCACCAGCCCTTTCGCCACAGTCGCGCTAAACAAACTCATCATTCCATTACATTTCTCCACGCTCAGCTCATTCAAGCTCAAGAACAGAATCGATGATGGCAGTAATCGATTCAAATTCTCACATTTTCTCACCTCGATCCTCTCCAAACTGTCGAACCTAGCGCTTGTGTTCGATGGAAACATGCATCTTAATCGCTTGCAGCCTTCAATTCTCACCGTTTGGAGTTTGCCGAAGGAATTTGAAGCCAACCCATCACTATGCCATAATGTCTCCAAATTGTTTCCTTTAGTGATTGATAAATGCTTCAATTCAGGAAATGAAACCCGTTGATCAAAACAGGGGATTTTACTTTGTGGGTCTTCTTGGATGAACAATTTGGTACAGAAACTCGCAAGTTTATTCACTTTTTCAAGTGTTAAAGAGGTTATACTACAAATGCTGCTCTGTTCTTCAGTTTCTATGGATATAATCTCATCCATCATGCCACAATCCGTCACAGAAATCTCTTGAAGATTTGAAACCGCTTTAAGAACAGAGATTGAGAACAGATTTCTGATCTCCCCACATGATTGAATTGATATGGATTTAAGCTTTTTAAAAGGAAGGATTGGCGAATTCCTGGGAGATAAATTCATCAATCTCTTCATTCCATAAACAGTCAAGAACTCCAAGGAATTGAAGTCAGATCTGAACAGATACGGCAAATTTGAGTATCCATGTTCATCAATTATCCATAGATACTTCAAAAATGGATACCCATTTCTAATTGGATTGAACATTTCGTTTATAAAACGACCCACTGAATCGCTTAGAACCAATCGTTCAGATCTTTTCAAAAGTGTTTCAAGCCCTCCATCAATGGCAGTTTGGGATTCTATACTAAGAATCATAGTTGTTGCATATTCGTAAGAAATAAAGGGGAGAATAAAATCGTCTGATTCATTAACACAAACCCAGAATTCTTTCAACTTGTTTGATGTTTCCGAGGTTATCTCCGACAGAATTTTGACATTTGAGCTCTCTAATCTTAAACTTGAAAGCCGTGGCAGACAATTCAGTTCAGAAAGTTTGATGTTCATAATCAGTTCATCTTTGTACCATACTTCTTCTCCCCATCTATCAAAGCTGTCGCGTAATTTCAACACTTCTAGTTTGTTCATACTTGAAATAATATTTGCAGGAAACACCTCCAAGTTCGAGCAATTTAACACTTCGAGTACCTTAAGTTCTGTTAATTGATTCATAGTCACAGGTAAATGATCTAGCTTGTTGCAGCTACAAATCCTTAAAATCTCCAAGTTCTTCAGCTCACTAATTGTGTCAATAGGATTGAATTCACAGCGTAACAGACATAATGTTCGAATGTTCTTAAATAATCTCCAAGAAGTTTGGAGGAAACTCATCCCTGTTATGTCCAAAGCTTTAATCTTTTCCATTCCTGCAAAAAACCCATATGGAATTTCAAGATTTCCCACAAACCCATTTGATGATCTTAATATCAAGAGCTCAAGATCAGGAAAGTTCAAGTTTTGGGGAAGTTTTTGAAAGTTATCACAGTTTACAAAGATAGCACGATAAGCTCCACTTTGATACTCATCTTCCCAATCACTAAGCTTAGATCCAAAGCTCATTGTTGTCATGATACCCTCCATTGATGCAATGTGTATAGCAACATCACGAACAACATCATGCATGCTAACATATGTGTCTCTTGAATGTTCATCCGCATCAAGAAGTAAAGAACAAGATTTAAGATCATGAACCAATTTCATTACTCTGTTCTTCACATCCTCCCAAGTGTTTACTTTTCTCAATAATCTCATACCCATTGCATACATTTGCAAATCATTCAAAGAAATCTTGTAATTATCTGGAAAAACACTGCATAAAAGGAACATTAACTTGGGTTCTTCTCCAACTAAATGATCATAGCTCAATCTCAATGAAGCATAAACTTTGTGACTAACTCCTTTGATATCCATTCCAATGGAGTTTCTTAATTTGCTCAAAGCATCCTTCCAATGGTTCATATGCTTCCCTTTCAATGCCTTGGCAATGGTATCAAGCGCAAGAGGTAGCCCTCCACATTCTCTTGCTACCATCTTAGCCAAATTCTCCATATCAGGGGTATCAAACTCATCACCAATGATAGCTGTGAAGAACTTCCATGACTCCTCTTCGCTTAAAGAATTCACCTGAAAACACACTGTTGTGTTCATGTTGTTCATCAATATATCCTGTGATCGACTCGTCATAAGCATTTTACATGAAGAACAAGGAATTCCAATCTCTTTTATAAGATCATATTCCTTCCACAAATCATCCAATATAATAAGAACATTCCCTTCCATTTTAACCAAATTGTTCCTTATAAAAGAAGCTCTTCCCTCCTTACTCTTTGGTAATCTTACATTCAAAACATCTCCAATTTGTTCTTGAATCTGTATAACTCCATTTGATTGGCCTACACACACTTCAATCACTCGATCAAACACTTTTTCTTCCAAAACCATCTTCTTAACTTCATTAAGCAAGTAAGTTTTTCCAACGCCTCCCATGCCATAAACACCAACCCTGCTAACCTCTGCCTTTTCAAGTGCTTTCTTGATTTGTTTAGCCATTGAAATCTTGGATTCCAAAACTTGATACCCACCCGGAACAACGATGTTCTTAGTCTCTAAAAGCGGTGCAGGGTAGCCCACTTCCATAAAGTTGATTCTTTTGGCTATGAGTTCATGAAGAGCTTCAATTTTCTTCTTTGTTTTTCTGCCTATGTGGTATCTATCAATCAAGTTAAAGGCTGATGGGTTTGAAGAATTTGATGATAGCTCATCATGGATGGCGTTGTCTGCATCAGTTAGCCACTTTGAAACTTCCTCGCGGATTACATATGCGTTGCTTCTTGCCTGTTGGACTCGTCCTTGGACGTCCCTGCGCGCTGTCTTGAGAGCTTCGAGCTGCTCTTTGAGCTTGTTTTTGTTTCTGTTGTAGCAGAGGAGATAGCTTAGTTGACGTCCAATGGGTTTAATCACATATTCTCCCATTATTGATTCAGCTACTGAGACTAGAATTTCCATTCCAGCTCTTTCAATGTCCCTACGATGGCATAATCATCAAAATACTTGAAAAAAATTGTCTTAAACAAAATATTGTAAGAATAAAGAATACATTATGAGGTCGGGCTGAAACCAAAACCATAATAGAGAAATAAAATTGTACAAGATTAAGAATACATTACGAGGTCGGGCTAAAACCAAAACCATAATAGAGAAATAAAATTGTACAAGATTAAGAATACATTATGAGTTCGGGCTTAGTTTAGATATTTTATTTTCGAAAAGGCTGTTAGCGTTGTCATAAATGCACCAACCGAAAATCAAACTCGGTCTGTACTGTGACAAAGTACTATTCTACCACTAAACTTCTGGTGCGGTTGATTATGAATTTACCTATACAAATTTTTTAATAAATTCATAAGGTTAATGTTTGATTAGTTTCATATAATTCAAATAATTTTCTATTTTTTCCAAAAATATTTGTAGATTTTTTCCTTTTAATTTTAATAATATCCTTCAAATTTAAAAAAAAAAAAAATCTAAAAAAATACTTTAACAGAGAGTTTTGAAACAAAAATATGTCTGAAATTTTAATATGGTTTCGAAACTTTAAAAAATTTCATTAATACCTTCCAATTTTAAAAAAAAAAAAAAATCTTAAAATACAATTAACACTTTGTTTAAAAAATATCTATAAAATATTAAAATTAGTATTAATATTTTTTACCTTTATTTAAAAAATGTTCGAAAGTTTTTATCATTAATATATATAAACGAAAATTGTCTATAAATAACTTATAGGTCGTTTGAAAGTGCATATTATACTATTTTTAAAGTTTTTTTAAAAAAAAATTTAAAATATTAAAGAACCTTTTAAAAATTTAGCTATTTTTTAAACTAAGTTAAAAATATTTAATCCAACTCGTAGTAGTTAACTAGTTTCTTTTTACAGTATTCGTTTCTCACTCATTCAAATTATAAACATATCGTCTCTTTAAAAAAATAACATACGATCATATTTCACGAAGTAAAACTAAATAGAATTAGATATTATGGCATGAAATGAAAAAGGGTTTGTAAAGATAACTTACTCGGTGTGTTGTGGCGAAACGAGGAAGGTGGGAAGAGTTGATTAGTTTAAGTGAGTCCAAATTGTATGATTTATATTCACAATAATACCATCTCCCTCTTTCCTTGCACATTCATGAAGCTTAGAATATACCTTTTCCATCTTCCCTTTTTTGAGTGTTTCTTTAGCCCACCCCTTTCAACTCTCTTCTCGAGTGAACTCATGAAAACTCTTTTCATCCCTTTTTATACTCGCAAAATTATACAAATTCGGTTTTCTTTTCGTTTCCCATGATTCTTTCGTCTATAAGTGTTCAAAAAAATTGAATAAATGACTCGAACAACTTGAACTAACCTGTAATGACTCAAGCCCACCATAATAGGTCCGTATCAGGATTAGAGCACCTATTGAATGTAGGAACGAGGCAAAGTCGATGCTGTGACTTCGTAATCCGATCTTGGAAGAGATCAGGGACTATGCGAGTAGGTGGTTTAGTATGAAAATTTCTATTGAGTGTAGGTACGGGTCAAGGCTGAGGAAAGTTGTGGAAACCTATTAGGAGAAATAAGTAATGAGGCCTACAAGTAGGTTGCTTACCGACTATATTTTTATACTCACCCCTTTTTTCCTTTCTTTGTCAAGTATCGGTCAAGGTGGGGAAATGTTTTGGAGATGCACTGTCACATAGGGGTGTCGACTCGAGGCGTCAGTTAGTTGTATTCTTTTAGGGTTTGATTTTGTATTCTTTTGTATCCCTGTCATTTTCCGTATTTGTAAATAACTTGGAATTTTGACATTGGTGTTGTATGTCTTTTAAAACCGTGCAAAATTTTACCATATTTCCTACAATATCAATGTTTTGTTTTATTTTGATTCTGTTTCGTTTCTTCGTCACGATCCAATTTCTTGAAATCTTGAAAATTTGGTCGTGACACAACCTAACTCAAAAAATTTATGGTTTGATTGGATTGAATTCGTTATATAATAAGAGTTGTTTGGATTGAAAAAATTTATAACTACGATAATTGGATTGGGACGAAAAAAATGTCATTAACCTAATTCAACCCACGAACACCCCTACTTTGTTCTTTTCTCTTTTCCGTGGAAGATATCCAAACTAAGAAAAGTCTCCCAATAATACATAAATATCTTCTTCATCATCAAATGCACTAAGAAAAAACTTCCTCTATTTCTTTTTTGTTGCACCCTCTTGCAATTCTTCTTTCATTCCTTTTACAATTTTTTCAAACCAAAAATTCCATTCTTCTTCTTCATTTTCCTACTTTCATTCCAAAACCCATGTATGTTCTTACTTACTAGAAAAACAATCCGAACCCAACCCGAAAATAGAGAGTTGGGTTGTGAAAAGTTTCAGGTTGGGTTGGGTTACCAATCCAACCAACCCGAACTTTTGGGTTGAGTCAAAAAAATCTCTCAACCCAACCCGAACTATTGGGTTGGCGGCAGGAAGTGACCTTTCTTGGACACGTGGTACCCAGTCAGGGGTAACTGTGGATCCTGCTAAGATCGAAGCAGTCTTGAAATGGCCTAGACCAACCACGGCCGCTGAAGTATGGAGTTTTGTGGGTCTAGCAGGCTATTATAGAAGGTTTGTACAATGTTTCTCTAAAATATCTGCAGCTTTGACACAAGAAGGGGAAACCTTTTATCTGTACACCAGAGTGTGAATAGAGTTTTCTAGAACTGAGAAAGAGGTTAGTCACTGCGTCTGTACTTACAGTGCTCGACGGATCAGGTGGGCTTGTGGTTTACGGCGACGCTTCAGGAAAAGGGCTAGGTTGTGTACTCATGCCAAAGAGCAAGGTGATAGCCTACACCTCTAGACAGCTGAAAGAATATGAGTGCAACTACCCCACCGACGATCTGGAACTAGCAGCCGTGATATATGCATTGAAAACTTAGCGTCACTACCTGTATGGAGAGAGAGTTCAGGTGTATACTGACCATAAGAGCCTCAAGTATTTGTTTACAGAGAAAGAGCTCAATATGAGACAACGGAGGTGATTAGAACTAGTTAAAGACTATGACATCGAAATACTTTACCACCCGGGAAAAGCTAATATAAAATTAAGCACAAAACTAATGGATGTCAATCCCCTAAAATATTTCTTTCTAATTCTCTCCACAAATCTTAGTTTTAGTTTTATTGGATCCATCATTTTTTAAGATAAAATTAAATGAAATTAGGAACCCATCCCGAATGACGATATTCGACACTCATATCACGATATTAACACTTGACAACGCATCAGTTTTTTGAACCAACATGCAAAGCCTCGAATCTTTTTATTCTAAATTATGAACACTCGATCATATCTGTAAAGAATGAACTAACGATTTAACAGCAGTCCCTAAACCCAACGTGTAGCCAAGTGAAAATTAAAATGTTGTTCATTCTTCTACAAAATCAAATTTAATAAAACAATATTTGGAACATTTTGTGTGTCAATATCACAAGCCATAGGGTGGAATTTATGCTAAACCATTCATGTTTTTATTTATTATCTTATTACTTACATTTGCATCCACCAACTTAAAAAGAATACAAACAAAAATTAACTGAAAAAGGATCTACTTGTGTACAACCCAATAACTCTACCAACCTAACCCAAATTATAAGGGTTGGGTTGAATTGGATTAGCATTTCAGATAGAGTTGGGTTCATTTTTCTAAACCCGAACTGAATCAGTTCTGTTTCAAGTTCGTGGACAAAACCCTCGAGTTGAACCGAGCCAAATTGAAATATATAAAATATATTAAGCGTTTGTTATGATGTGTTTGCTCGAGTTCGAATCTAGCCAAATACATGTTTCTTTTTCTTTTTTTATATAATATTTAAAATTCAAATTTGTTTCTTTTTCTTTTTTTATATATATATTTAAAATTCAATTTTTTTTGACCGTTACCACAAAATTGAATCATAGAAAATTAGTTTAAATATATTTAAATATTTTTGTTATTAAATTAAGAAAGTAATTTTAAATTCTAATGTATTTATTTTAATTTAAATATATTTAAATATCTTGTTATTAAGCTAAGAAAGTAATTCTAAATTTTAATATATTTATTTGTATTTATTTTAGTTTAAATATATTTAAAAAACTAAGAAAGTAATTTTAAATCGTAATGTATTTATTTTAGTTTAAATATATTTAAAAAACTAGGAAAGTAATTTGAAATTATAAATTCTAATGTATTTATTTGTATTTATTTTAGTTTAAATATATTTAAATATTTTATTATTAAACTAAGAAAGTAATTCTAAGTTTTAAGGTATTTATTTGTATTTATTTTAGTTTAAATATATTTAAATATTTTGTTATTAAAATAAGAAAGTAATTCTAAATTATAATGTATTTATTTTCTATTTGTATTACATTATTATATCACAAATATATTAGGGCTCTCAACCTAAGAAGCATATTTTTAATTTTAAATTTTAATATATTTATTTGTATTTATTTTAATTTAAATATATTTAAATATTTTATTATTAAAGAAAGTAATTCTAAATTCTAATATATTTATTTTCTATTTGTTGCAATATATACATATAAATAGTTTAGGGCTAGATCTTTATAGATCACGTATAATTAGCATAGTTTAAATTAATCATTTTTATTGTTTATTTAATTTCATGATATATCTTTATATTTTTCTTACTCGAACCAATTTTCAAGAAATATCGATATTTAGCCGTCTTTAGTTTTATGACAATGTCAAACTATGTTAATATGTTACAATTTTCGCTTGTTGTTTTTTTATTGAATTTGTTTATTATTATTATTATTATTATTTGTGAATAATTAGGAATTGATTTGTATTTATTTGTGAATTTTTAATATATTTTATCTAAGATTGTATCCCAATAATTATTAACTGTAAATAAATAAAACTTAAAAAAAAAAAATTGACAACCCAACCCGAAAATAGAGGGTTGGGTTGGGTTGTGAAAAGTTTCGGGTTGGGTTGGGTTACCAATCCAACCAACCCGAACTTTTGGGTTGGGTCAAAAAAATCCCTCAACCCAACCCGAACTATTGGGTTGACTGCAGGAAGTGACCTTTCTTGGACACATGGTATCCAATCAGGGGGTAACTGTGGATCCTGCTAAGATCGGAGCAGTCTTGAAATAGCCTAGACCAACCACAGTCGCTAAAGTAAGGAGTTTTGTGGGTCTAGCAGGCTATTATAGAAGGTTTGTACAAGATTTCTCTAAAATATCTGTAGCACAGTTAACCAAGAAGGGGAAACCTTTTATCTGTACACCAGAGTGTGAACAGAGTTTTCTAAAACTGAGAAAGAGGTTGGTCACTGCACTTACAGTGCCCGACGGATCAGGTGGGCTTGTGGTTTACGGCGACACTTCAGGAAAAGGGCTAGGTTGTGCACTCATGCAAAAGAGCAAGGTGATAGCCTACGCCTCTAGACAGCTGAAAGAATATGAGTGCAACTACCCCACCGACAATCTGGAACTAGCAGCCGTGGTATATGCATTGAAAACCTGGTGTCACTACCTGTATGGGGAAAGAGTTCAGGTGTATACTGACCATAAGAGCCTCAAGCATTTGTTTACACAGAAATAGCTCAACATGAGACAATAGAGGTGGTTAGAACTAGTTAAAGACTATGACATTGAAATACTTTGCCATCCAGGAAAAGCTAATGTAGTGGCAGATGCCTTGAGCACTTGGCCCTTATGGAATTTGCCTACAATAATAGTTACCTAGCAACCATTCAGATGACACCATTTGAAACTCTATATGGGCGGAGGTGTAGAACCCCTATATTCTGGGAGGAGGTAGGCAAGAAACAGTTGTTGGGGCCGGAGTTAGTACAGTCTACCAACGCAGCAGTACAAAAAAATCTGACAGAGGATGCTCTCTGCACAAAGTCGGCAGAAGAGTTATGCAAATTCTCGTAGGAAAGACCTCGAGTTTGCAGTGGGGGATCACATCTTCCTGAAAGTAGCCCCCATGAGAGGAGTGCTAAGATTTGGGAAGAAGAGCAAGCTGAGCCCGAGATTCAGGGGTCCCTTTGAAATCCTAGAAAGGGTAGGGCCCGTGGCCTACATACTAACATTACCATCCACACTCCCCACAGTGCACAACATCTTCCATGTATCGATGCTGAGAAAGTACACTCCAGATCCCATTTACATCATTGATCACAAGACGCTTCCCATTCGAAAGGACCTATCATATGAGGAGAAACCCATAGGGATAATGGCACGTGATGTGAGGAGAATAAAAAGAAGGGAGATTCCCGTGGTCAAGGTTTTATGGGAAAACCATCGAGACAACGAGGCCACCTGGGAAGACATGAGAAGATCTTATCCCAAACTCTTCTGGGGAGGATCAACTTTCAAGGACGAAAATTCCTAAGTTGGGGAGAATTGTAGCACCCGAGTTAATAAAAAAAAAAAAAAAAAAAGTTCAAGGTCACAATAGAGGCAAAATAGTCATTTCGACCTATTATTACTGAAGAGGTCGGATTTGATTGGAGCAATTATCTGAAAAGAGAAAGAAGAGAGGGGAAAGAAAAAGGAGAAAGAAGATTAGGGTTTTGAGGTAGGAGGAGGAGATCGAACCAAAACTGACGCCAGAGATCCGAGTCCCCAATCTAAACCATCAACAGTCCTAGGTAAGGTGCTCTCACGAATCGCACCTTCCTATTTCGTCAAAAACATCCAAGAACTTCAGGTTAGTCCGCGAGTGTCTAGATTGAGAAGTCATCAAGATTTTCGTATGTTAGCGATGTTTTTGTGTTGATCCTTGGACTCTTACCCTCAACAGCGTGATCTAGTTAAGTTTCGGAGTGAAAGCGGCCAAGATTGGCCTTCGAATAGGAGTTTCAAGAATTCGTGATTTTCGATAAGAACTCATGTTTTCTCTGAATTTGAACTCGAATATTAAGATCTGTGATTATTAGAAAAATATAAGAAAATTGTTTCGAAGGAGTAGAATATGAGATCTACAAGGTTTGTGAAGAAAATTTGTTGAATCGGATTACCGATTGGAAGATAAAAAAAAATCGGAGATTGAAAACGCAAAAGAGGCTAACATTTGGAAAAATTGAAACACGCCGCCACGAGTCGGCCAGCGTATGGAGGGGTGCGGCGGAACCAGTGATCAACACGTGGCGGTCACCAACTGGTGAGGCGCGTCCTCACCCAGCAGCGGACACGCGTCAGGCACGCGGATCTGGGCTGACCCGACCCCTGAACCGTACACGACTTGGAACCGGCGAACCGCTCCACCCGTGAACCACTCCTACCCGGTGCCTCTGACCCGCAACTACTCAAAAACCGCACGTAGGAGTTATGCGTAGAAACCCTCCAGAGCGCGTGTAGGCGCGTGAGTCACAGTTTTTCTTGCCGTTCGGTCTCCGTTTTCTTGTTTTTCGTTCCGATTTTGATACTGACCTTTTTATTATGTGAATTAGGACATGTCTAAGGGAATTCCATAATTTTTGGAATCCTTCCCGTCAAGAAAACTCGAGCTTGGGAAGACACACGTCAACTAAGTAAGTAGCCATTTGGATTCCCACGAGCAGTACTTGTAGGAACCGCTAGGAACAAGCATGCATGCTACCACCCATAAACTTAGCTAGCCGGACCTAGCATATTAGTATGGAAACTGCAAAAATGAAATGATTTAAGGAAAGCTAGATATGAAATGTTTATTAAATCTGTTTTGATTGAGATTCTGATAATGTATGTAGGCATGTGGAGGATGGGAAACTTGTGAAATCTGCACTCTGGGTGAAGATGGACGTTATCTTCCCATTGAGAATGTTTGTTAATATTGCATGAATTATTGCGTGTGAACTCCTATGTATGATATTTGCTTGTGTTATCTTTCTTGTTGAATATGAAGAAATTATGAGCTTAGATTAGGGTGCTTGTGACTAAGTAGGCTAGACGAGACCCTAGATTGGGAGACCTTTAGAATACCGTACATTTAGACTTGCAAAACGATTACCAGCGGATCCAGAGCCCATATTTCCAAACCCGATAGGTTTGTGAGACCTTGCACGAGAATCTTAGAGATGCATGAATCCAAGTCTAAGCAACCAAGTTCCTCCCTAGGAAGAATAGTAGGACACCACAGTAACTGTAGGTAGCCAGTTAGAGTTGAACAGTGTGGATAGTGTCATCAGAACCTCCACTTCCCTCTCTGCTCCGAGACCGTACCGGAGCTCGTTGAGCTTGGCAGATCCGGACAGGGAAGTGTAACAAGTGCCCATACCTAGTGGTGATAGCTAAGGGGCCCTCTAAACAGGATTCCTGGGCCGTAGAAACCCGTCCCTGAGCGGGGAACGCGGAACCACTAGGAGGACTTAGTAGCTGACTGGCACATAGGGGATCGCAACCCCCCGATTTTTAGTGGATGTATGGTCCCATGTGAGGGTTGTCAGCTAACCTCCATGGATGATGTTCAGAGAGAGTTACGTATTCAGATCCAGCCATACGATCCTCTCAAATTTACTTATGAGATCGCGCCTAACCTCATGATTTTTCCACTACATGAGTTGGGCAAACCCCTTAAGATACAGATAAGAGAGTTGTAGCTTAGATCGCTCTCCTTAGAAACTCGAGAAAGACCGTGGATACCTACCAAGATAAGGATGCAAAAAGAGCCTACAAGTAGGCTGCTTACTGAGTACACTCATTCCTTTCTACTCTTTTTTTTTCAAGTGAGTGATGCCATGGTTCGAGGCGGGAATGCACGTTGAATCTTAATACCACAAAGGAGTGTCTGGGGAGTCTAGAAATATGTGCATATTCTTGTTTAGATATGTCATGCATTATTTTGTAAGCCATTTACATACTTTTCATAGATCCCATATGCTACTTGAATACCTTGTTTTGGATTTTTAAACTTTCTACCTAATTGCTAAAGTTTTTTTTTTTTTTTTTTTTGTAA